ATATATATATATATATATATATATATATATATATATAATACATATCTTTATATAACTAAAATTTATATATAATAAATATTTTAAAAGAAAAGTGCATGATCGCGAGCGAAGTAATGGTAAAGGATGGATGTGTTGACACGTAGATGCGGCTTCACGATCACATGACAGATGACACCTTCCTTAGTTTAACTCGTATCCTATAATACTAATACATGATCATTAGATCTAACACTCCACACACCACAGTCCTTCTTCTAAGTTGTAAAAGCTGTTCAGATCTAGCATAGCATGAAGGAATGAGGTAATCGGAAAAACATGGGTGTAACGCAGAGGGGGAAAAGGGTTCCGAGAAGGGTCTGGTTAAGCTTCCAAAAATCAATGGGTGTCCTCGTGGGTGGAAACCATACCTCCTCCAGATTTTGCACTCGCTAATTCCTCTTTCTTCTTCCCTATCGGCTTCAATCTTTTTCAATCCAATTCCATGGACGCCAAACTCTTCAAATTAAACAGACTCACCGCCGCCATAGCTAGGCGCCTCGCCATACGCTCAATTCTACTGGCGTCGGCCATATCCATCGTCTCTCTCTTCCACGCGCAATCCATATTCAATGTGGGATCCCTCGCTCCCATCGCCACCTACTTCGATTGCGTCACATTCCGCCCCGCGTCCCGCTTCTGGCTCCCCTCCAATTGCCACAAAGACGCCAACTTGACGCTCGCCGTCGTCACCGACTTAATGGGTAACCGGTTGCTTCACCCCGGAGCCAACACCCTCTGCGTTGGACAAGCCTCCTCAATCGCAGTCACGGCAATCAAGCAGTTAGGCTTCTCCACCGTCAGCGCCGACCAAACGCACCGTTTCGGCCACAACACCTTCGATTTCGTCTTCTCCAGGGACCTCGACAAGGTCCCAGTCCCTGCCTCGCACGTGCTCGAGGTGGAGCGTGTGCTCAAGCCTGCTGGGGTTGGTGCGTTTCTTGTGTCCTCCATTGGCTCTCACCCCAACGATTTGATAAGAGCAGCCACCCCTGTGTCCTCTTTGTTGAGGTCTTCCGATGTCGTGCATGTTGGTTCCGTCAATCAGCTTAACCTTGTGGTTTTCAAGAAAAGATTTCAAAACGCCACGTCGTTTTATCAGCATCCTTTACCCGCGGATTGTCCCAGTCTCACCTTCACCAAGCCCCTCATAGAGTTGATGGAGCCTCTTGTGAGTGGGAAGGAGAAAGAGAAAGCACCTCCTGAGAGTGTTCCCTATTTGCCCAAGTTTGTGGATGTCTCCACTAGGAAGAGGCTGGTGTATATTGACATTGGTGTGGGGGAGCTGCTGAATGCCAATGCTAGTGATTGGTTTCTGCCATCGTATCCCATTGATCAGAAGGATTTCAATGTGTATTTTGTTCACTACAACACTTCGATTATGTTGTCCTATGTGAAGCGTCCTGGTGTTACCTTTGTTTATCACCCTGGTTTGGCTGGGAAAGTTACTCCCAAGCCAGATGACGATGGCGTGGATCCCTTTGTAGGGGAGGAGGAGTTTGATTTCCTAGCGTGGTTCAAGGAAACTGTGCAGTATGCTGATTTTGTGATCCTCAAGATGAATGCAGGGGATGTTGAACTAAAGTTTCTCTGGGATATATTTGAGAATGGAGCTATATGCTTTGTGGATGAGATGTTTCTGAGGTGTCCGGAGAGCAGCAAGGAAGGCTGCATGGATATTTACAAGGGTCTCCGAAGCAATGGTGTCTATGTCCATCAATGGTGGGGAGACTAAGTTTATTTTATGGTGTGAAGAGAAACTGTTTCTCTGCGTTTAATGTATGCGGACTATAGTCCCACTGTGTCTTTGTTGTTGCTTTGGTTGTGTGAAAAAGTATGTAGGATGCTATGAACATCCGAGTGCTTTATGGTTGGGCGCTTAATACTAAATAAACAACCACTGTCGTTCTCGTTTGCTAATAAAATATGTGATCATTCCGTGATTATTCTTTAAGTTTTAGTCTTTTTTGGGTTTTTATGACAGGTAGAAATGGGCTTTGATCATGACAGCATATATCCCGCACCCATCATTATTTTTCATAAAGAACGAATTGGATCAAGAATCATGGCCATACTTGATCAATAACTCTTTGATTCATTCTATTTGTTTAAAATATTGAAGCGTGTTTATATTTTATCAAAAAGTTATAAAAAAAAAGTTATGAAAACTCTTGATTTTCAATGTGGTTTGGTTTATATAAATTTGTAGCATCGAAGACAAAGCAAAATTTTGTTTGGATATATTTTGTTTGTAAAAATGTTTTTTCCCCGAAGTGGCTGGAATGGAAGTTAGAAGTTATGTTTTCCAATGAATACCTTGGCAAGCCAAATTTTCGCTATGGTAAAGGAAACTAAGAAAGTAACGGGTGGCCAATGCTACTGCCATTTTTGCATTTGATGCTTGCATAGTTGCATATGCATATGCATGACTTACTAGCAAGTTAATCATTTGTTTTTTCTGTAAGTAAATATTTTTCAAATTGATGAGGAGGAGGAACCATTTATTTGGTTGGGCCCTAAATTTCAGCAAGCGACTAATCCATGATTTGAAAATGGCTTAAACATAAATAGGTGTTCCCTAATAGGAAGCCATCTATTTTGTTACAGAAAATAGGAAAAATTTCCACGTACAAAAATCAGAACCACATAATCAGTAAACAAATGACAGTCATTGTATAGAACTTCAAGGGTATGCATTCTCTTTCATACTGCAGAACTCTATAACACCGTCATTCCATGAGGACTCTTCCCTCCCCTTTATCTATGCTCGTAAGTAATTTCCCCCTTACCTCTCAGTTCCCACTTCCCACTCTAATGCCACGTAAGTATGGTTAGTAGCCCAATTCCCTTTTCTACCCTAGTTTTATGTTCCTTTACTACCCACTGTATCCGTACTATATAGGATTAGAAATTTATCCATATTACAGCCATGACAACATATGGGTTACATATCAATCATTTTTGAAAGTGGAAAATAAAATGTCATCACCCCAAGAGAAATATATTTAACCATATAGAATGAACCCATTTAAAAGCACAGACAAACAAGCTCATTGGAGGCATTGTCTTGTACAAGTTATGTGCAATGCCAGCCTGTTCATGTTGAATCACAAGTCATGTATAAATTCCATTTTCCTTTGTTTTTTCTGATTATTGAAAAATACAGAAAAGTAAGGTGAAACCATGAAAAGAAGACGGAGATATGTTAATGTATAACAGTTGGACTGTACAGGAAGCTTGAGGAGTTAACAATGTATCTTCTTCACTCCTCAGGCCCTACCTTTATCTCCAAAAGCCTCTCAACAGGTTGTCTGCAAATTGGGCATCTATTTGTCTGGAACCTCAGAACCTCTGCACATCCGCTACACATACACTGCAAATAGAAAAGGAATCCAGCCACCATATATCAAGGACTCAAGGAACAAATAATTAGCTTTTAACAGTTAAATTAGGCTAAATGATCATGAGTTTGCAAAGAGCCCAAGACTGAAAGGCAACAGGCTAATAAATCAAGTGTTGAAAAAGTTGGAGAAGATTTGAAAAAAAGATATTTGCTAAGATTGGCTATGATATTGATGACTACCATCAGCATCGTTCTATCAACTAATCAAAGAAAAATTCAATCAAAAAGGGAAGCAGAAAATACCATATGCCGACAGGGATGGACAATTGTATCACGGGGCTCTGACAAGCAGATGACACATTCTTTTCCTTGGTCACTCTCATCCAATTCACTCTCCGTTGAATTTCCAATGCCATATATCTCCTGGAGCTCATACCTTATTCCATTCACCCACAAGACCTGCTTAACAACTTTCACCCGGAACTCTCCTTTCCCCTTCTCAAACACCGCTTGGGTAGTCTGCGAGTTTGTGTTACCAGATGTTGGAGTTCTATCTGACTCATCATGATTACCAGGGGATGCATCTGCCTTTACTGCTAGAGGGTAGACATCCAGGTCACCCACTTTCAATAACTCAGACTCCTCAAAAACCGAAAAATCAATACCAGTTCCAGTTGGCTGTCTAAACTTCTGGCCAAGACCTTGCTGGAAATGCACAGTCACTGGTGCAAGATGGTTTTCCTTTGTTGGTGTGAGGATGCAGTCTTCACCTTCTTTTGCAAAGAAATATATGGTGATGCTGTTAAACAAATAAAAAGAAACGCAACCTTTAGAACAAGTACATGAAGGATTATAGTACAAAATGTTCATATTTATAATCATCAATCAGGATTCGATAACAACCACCCCCACCTCACACACTCAAATGCCCATTAGCATTTAAAAGCACTAAAATATCAAACATGAAGCTAAATGTACACCCGTTAAGCTGCTTACACAGTGTTCTGAATCTAAATAATAGGAATCAAAGTACTTATAATTACTATGACTGACTTCGTAGCCATTCACATGTTTAAAAGGAAAATTGTTTCTTACACAACATTGGCAGGAACTAAGAAGCATAACAGAAACATGCAGTAAATCAAATATTCAGATACCTTCAATAGAAAAATAGGTACTGTTTCTATTTATACCTTGAAATATTGGTCATTCCATTCTATTTTATAAAGAACATTGTTAGTAATTGAAAACCACCCCTAACGGCACATAAACCTAAACAGTCAAACTATTGTGGAGTTACCACTTTCTCCTTTGATATGGTTTCGTTACATTCTTGAACATAAGATAAAATTAAAATGACACAAATAACAAAAACTCCAACTCTGATTTGACAGCAATAACAGCTTAAAGATATAGAAGGAAACTACATAATTGTTAAGCTAATGTTCAGACAAAAAGAACCTTGGCTTTCAAACCGACTATCGTTATTATCAAATGGAAACAATTTTTCAGAATAGATAATTATTTCTCGACGTCTTTTAACCATCCTTAAAAGGGTAACATAACTTGCAAAAGACAGCAAATTTTTGAACTCCAAACCCCACCTCCCCAAAAAGGAAATGATTAGAAAGCCACTTTGAATAATAAATTTAAATGAAAAGTAAATAAATAGCCTTTTCTTTCCGTTACAGTGGTGGCATTATGGTGCGAGCATATAACCTTATGCAAACTACCCAAACCTTTTATCACCGGTCCAATCCTAGTGGCTTGAAACAAATAGTTTTTAAATGTGTAATATTCATAATCAAATGAAAATATATTATCACTCTGGCAATCCATAGGTGTAAGAGATTTCGATGTTCCAATTGGTTCTCCATGTTGTCAAAGATAATTGAACACTAGAAACTTGAAGATTGATTTTACACATTGTCAAAGGTAATTGGACCCTAGAAAGAAGTAACACAGATTTGTATAACTAGTAAATCATAAGTCGCAGTTATCTGCTAAATAAGATACCCATAACAAAAATTACACCTACTCCTTCCTATGGGGAAAAAAACTAGCTATCTAGAGGTTATTTAATGCTAATTGCACACCTTTGCAACACATGTCTATTTTACATCTTACATAAATAACCGTAGGAATGCATGTAACGGTGACCAGACTAGTAAGTATAGGATCACGTGTTGGTAACAGAAAAAAGATACCATAACATTCCATAAAAAAATCAAGTTACTATTATATAGCTCAAATGAATGAACCTAACAATACAAAATAACAGGAGACAAGCAAGTAACGTTCGAATAATCCGCACATGAGCATCATTCGTATTGGCCATATTACAAACTCTTGATATATAAAATGACGATCAAAGCCGAGAGAGAAAAAACAAAACACTAGTTGAAGTTAATTCAAGAATATTTTGAGCTTTTTGATTACTTGTGCACAATAGAAATGGGGTCTAGCTCAGTTGGTGGGACAAGATGTGTGAATTGTTGTAAACTTTTGGTACCAAGTTTGATTCCGATGGAAGAAAAAAAACATTAGGACTTAGTTAAATTGCTCGTGTAAGGTTGACTACTATTTGCTATTAGCTTTGTCCTTTCTATGTTGAATAAATAGAAGCTAATTGAACAATTAAATACCTTACACCCCCCAACAAGCAAATAACAGAATCCAAAAACCCTGCACCCGACAATCTCATCTTCGTGCAAGATAAACCGCTACAGGTCCCAAAATTGAATAAAACAACCCCTTAATTTCACAATTCACATGTTAACAATATATTAAACAAACACAACACATACATGGACGAATTCAAAACAAACGAAAACATACCTCCCAGAAAGAGTAGCATCAAAGGAAAATGATAGAAGGAAGTGACCAGGGTTAGCCTCATCGGGCTCAAGCCTAAGGGACTCTTTCCTGATATTGACATCGTTCTTTATGGTAACGGCTTTCTGATGCTCAACGAAGGGTGCAGGATCAGGCATCACCGGTCCACAAGGGTAACGCCCCGGAGGCCACGTGGGGTTCACGTGCGGGTGAGGATGAGGCACGGGAACCGGAGGGTAGTAACCGGGGTAATGGTACTGCGTGTAATGCAGGGAAAGGTTCGGGTACGGTGCGGCACCAGGGTACACGAATGGATTCCCGGCGATCTCCGGCTGCGGAGTCACCGGCGGAGGCGGCGGGGGGTGGGCCCGCCTTAGAGCTCCGGTGTGGCGGCGGTGGGGGTTAGCGCCGCTGCTTGAGATGTTGCCCATGGAAAGGAGAAGCCCTAATTGTGAGATGAATTGATTCTGCGCGCAGCACAGCGGTGGGTGGTGGTGGTGGTTTTGTTTAATTAAAACTAAAAAGTATAGTATAAACAAATAAAAAAGGAATAAAGAAAAGAGAGGGAAGGGAATGAATCCGAGAGTGAGGCGAAAGGGTAAGAGTAAGAATGAAGGAATGCGTCAAGTATTGAAGACGAGAAAGAAAGAAAAGAATAGAAATTCTAAATAAGTGAATACAGAGAGAGAGAGAGAGAGAGAGGTTGTGTTCTGTTATATGAGATGGCGCGCACCAAGGAGGAGGAGCACCATTGATGATGAGAAAACAAGCTATGCAATTGCAAACGTCAAACGCTCTTTTTTATTTTTTATTTTTTATTTTTAAATATGTACAGACAGACACAGATAGAATTTCATTTTTGACACATAATCATAGTTGTAATTTTGGACATCCAAACAGGATATACGCCAAATTCACCCTTTTTTTTTATTAATTATTATTATTCATGATTTTTCATTTTGATAATCAGTGTGGTTATTATTTAATATGTTTATTATATAATAAACTTCACATTATATAAGTATAATTATACAATTTATTATTTATTAATTTTAAATTAGATTTAATATTAAATAAAAGATTAAAAATAACATATAAGATAATGTTAAAGTTATATCTCAAAAAGGTAAATATCATAGTGATTTAAATACTAAAGTATATAATGAAGGTTAGTAGTTTTAGTTTTTGTAAAGTCACATTTTATATTTTTTAATAAATCATATATTTCTTTATTATGTCAAAATTGTTAATACCTCATATTATTATTGAGGGATATCTTACTTCATATGAATTATCGTGTTATTTTTATTGTACTATATCATTAATCTATGTTGATATTAAAGTAAATGTCAAAATAAACATATTACATCAAATTAACTAACAGAGAAAATTAAAATAGCATATTTTAAAGAAATAATCCAAACAAATACTTCTTTTTTTTTGTTGCATAAGTAATATGCAGCCTTTTGTATGTTAATAATAATAATAATAATTTTTATTATTATTATTATTATTATTGTAATAGTAATAATCATAATAAAATAAATGTATACTATTTTAAGATCAAATAATATAAAATAAAATGAAATTAATATTAATGATAAAAACAAATATTTATTTATAATTTCTTGAATCAAATAATCTATAAAAAATTATTTTTTATTTTATTTGTCTTCCATTCATCTTAGATTAAATAATTTTTCTTTTAACTCTTTTTTTTTATTCTTTTTCTTTTTCTTCGCATATATATTTTTTTTCTTTTTATCGAATCCAGGGATAAGGAGGAGTTATCCCTCAATTGATATTCTATTTTCTTCAGGAGATTAGTCTAATAACTTATTTTTGGAAAGAAAAAACACTTAAGTTTATATGTAACAAAATATATCTATTAAAAAAATTACTTCCTTAAAAATATTTGTATTTTATGTGGTTAGTCTCTAAAATTTATCCGAAGAGATTAATCTTATGTCTAGTGTGATAATTTAATACCTTTGGTTAAGGATTAATATGCAATATATATATATATATATATATATATTCCTTTTTAATTATTTTTTTAATATCTAATAGAAATTTAATTTCTTTTTTCAAGTTAGACATTTTCCCTCTTTTGGTTCCATATTTTTTTTATCCAACTTAAGTTATATTCATTCACGTTGGATAAGTTTTCATCATTGCACTAAATACATCAACAACATTTTTTTACCAAATAAAGATTAAAATCCACAAAAATATAGTGTTGGTAAAGATTTCAAATTGAGTCAACTTGATTCATATGAATTGAGTCACAATAAATTATTTAAAAAATAATTAATCAAATCTAATGCAATTCACATTTGTAAATAAAAAATACATAATCCAACTCAAATGATTCAAGTGAATTAACACATAAGTTGACTCAAATAATTAAAAAAGTTAAAAATTAACGAATATAAGTAATAAAAAAATAATTAATAAAAGCAAGAGAATTTGAAAATTATAAAATGACAAACGCAACAAACTCAACAACACACTAATTCATAACAAAAATGACTATAAAAAAAAGAAAATAAACTAAAAATATCAAGAAAATTTTATTTTATTATTTTGAGAAATAAAAATGGGTTAATAGGTTGCCTCCATATACCTAGGTTAGCTCACTTAAATTTGGGAGTTGAGTTGAATCAACCAATTTATTTCCATCTAAAATATCAATCCTTGATCATATTCTCTTTCTTTTCAAGTTATTATATAAAATCAAATTTAATGCTTAGATTAGATGTGGGTTCGATGTTGGTGGGAGAGGATTCTTTATACTAAACCAAATTGCGAAAAAGGTGAACAAATATTTTTTATTTGTTTAGTACGTGAGTTAGATTTGCTCATGAGTTAGAATCTACTTTTAACACCTCTAAGAATTTACAACACAGTTGTAATAGTTTCGTTAAAAATAAATGAATATAATGTAAGTAAAAATTTATTGTAAGAAAAATGTGAAACCTTAAAATAATGAATTGAATTTCAACCCGATGAATTAAAAATAAAAGACATGTTTTGAATTCACTCATTGTAATAAACATATTTAATATCTCAACACTATAAAAAGTATTTCACATTTTTTAGTTTAGCGAGTAAACAGTTAATAATAAAAAAATAATCGTAAACAAAATCTTGTAAAACTTTTTAAAAAGATTTGACTTAAAAAGAATGATTTAATCACCTATACACAGTAAAATTCTTTTATACTGGCAACCAATTATCTCTTTTAATAGTATCTTTTTTATTTTAATTTGATTAAATAAGTATATGACATGATACTATTAACAGAGATGATTAGTTCCCGGTGTAAATTTTTTTACACTAGCAGTATATAAGTGATTAACTCGAAAAGAATTACCAAACTCAACTTTAAATTTTAAAAAGGCTAAAATAGTATTTTAGTCCCTTATAATAATTATTTGTTTCAATTTAGTCCCATTTTTATTTTTGGTCTCAATTTGGTCCCTAATAAATTAATTGGTTGCAATGTCAGACTTCCGTCTAAATTATTTAAACAAAGTTAACTATTGACCACGTGGATGCAATGTAGATGCACAGGTGGATGCCACGTGGATGCCAATTTTTTTGAAAATACCTGGAACCAGAACGGTCCGTTCTAAAACCAGAGGGAGCCGTTCTAGGTGCACTCTTGGTGTGTTAATTTTGCATCCGGAACGGCCCGTTACAGGGGCAAAATTAACACACTAAGAGTGCAACCAGAACGGGTCATTCTGGTTTCAGAAAGGGCCGTTCTAGTTCCAGGTGTTTTAAAAAAATTGGCATCCACATGACATCCACGTGGATTTGGTACAAAGTATTTCAAATACTGGATTTGATAATATTGTCAATGGAAATTGATAACTTCAATTGCTAAACAGTTGGACTATACAGTGTATCGTTAGACAATGCAGTGTATCACTAAAGACAATGGTAGCAGATTTTATTTCATTGTTAGTCAAACTGGAGTGAACAACTTACTACTATTGACACTATACAGTAAAGGATGAAATTGTATTTTTCCTTCAAGTTATTAACGATGTACCCCAACAACAAGAACCTGTTCTTGAAGAGGTAGAACCTGAAGTAAAGGAAGAGGATATACAAGACTAACATTTCACCACACAACCACATGCAGGAACGGATCTAAGTTAATCATAGTGGGGACACTTGCCCCCACTAAAATTTTTTTCATTCTTTTTTTTTATATATAAAATATTAATAATTTTATAAAATATATATTATTAATTATATTATTAATTATGTTGTTATATTTAATATAATAAATATAACAACATAATTAAAATATAATTAATAATATATATTTTATAAAATTATTAATATTTTATATATATAAAAAAAGAAAGAAAAAAATTTTAGTGGGGGCAAGTGCTTGATCCAGTGTTTGAAATGCTTTGTACCAAATCCATGTGGATGCCAATTTTTTTGAAAACACCTGGAACCAGAACGGGTCATTCTGGTTGCACTCTTAGTGTGTTAATTTTGCACCTGGAACGGGCCGTTCCAGATGCAAAATTAACACACCAAAAGTGCAACCAGAACGGGCCGTTCTGGTTTCAGAACGGGTCGTTCTGGTTCCAGGTATTTTAAAAAAA